TGGCCAATGATGGCACAGTCATCTTGGCGAGAGGAGTGCAAGTAAGTGCAGTCTGCCACCCGGCCCGTCTGCGTTTTTTGACCAAAAGACTTTTATGACTCTCACCAAGTAAGAAAATAGCGGGTAGCACAGAATTCACACTTTTTAGTCGTAGCATGTCCTGGCGAGAATAGTTATAGATCCTGGACATGATCTGCACCGATAGATGGACGAGGCAAACGATAAATTCCAATGTGACGAACAAGCACGAGAGTGTAGCGCAGCCAATTGAAGGGCGCGCGAGTCATATTCACAATAAGTCACTTACGCATACGATTTCGAAGCAAGCCAATATAACTCGTATCAGCTTTTATAAAAGCATCCACTGGCAGTTCAACGCCAATAAAAAGCTCATTTTGGTCAACAACTTTCAATCCCGGAGACTGCCCGAATCAATACCATCCGTGACGGTTCCCTCTAGGCTACATCGATTCTGGAAAGAACCATGAGTTGCTGATCAAGCTCTGACGGACGTTACTTATCGCCTTATGCTTTCTCTCCTTACTATCCGCCATATTACGATATGTAATGAATAGTCAGCAGAGATTAAAAAACAGTGTATTTCAGCATGATGATATAAAAAATAACATCAAATCCGGAACAATGCAATAGAACGTTTGAATCTAGATATACAGGAGAACAGTGTGATTGAACAGCCTCAAAATCACCAAATTGGGTCACCAAAACGTTCAACCACCTTGTACTGATCCTCTGCGTCCTTACGGCATTTTTGGCGCATGTAGAAGATCGGACAATCACGACTGTAGACAGGAGTGAAACAAAGTATTATGACAACTAACACCCAGCGGAGAAAAGGACATGCACAAAAATTGATTGAAAAGTGGCATGGCTAAGGGTATAACTGATATCAACATTTAAATTTTGTGCAAAAAGAAGCCAACGAGGAAAATATTCAGCATAATTAGCGACACCGAAAGCAACTTTTTGATTAGCTACACAAAACGACAATTTTAAAGACTGCAAAATGCGAAAAAATGATCGCTCAGTTGAACTACCTTATTGAGCAGACAAACTAGGAATATCGACGGCCTCGCTACAAAGGAAAGAACTTACCTTTTTACTTTGGGGTGAATAACTCCTGCGGAAGGATAAGGTGACTTCATGGATGTCACTAATGATGGTAGCCCGTATGAGAAGATTGGTGACAAGGTTGGCGCAGTGTAATACCCAGTTCTAGTTTCAGCTCCGAATTTCGCATACGGATTGTAGGCCCAGTAATTCCGAATCCGCCTTGATCGTACTGTCCCAGGTTCTCAGTTGACTACCGAGTCGACAACAGCGAAGCCTTTTTGGAGCATGGACTAAAATTGCAGCTGCCCAATCTTTTGGAGAGGAATAGAGAGTACCACGGATCGACGGGAGTTGGTAGGTAAGTTTTGAATGGCTCTGGTGTTACCCGTCTTCTACAGGAGCCTTCCTGCTTTTCTGTTCTACTAGGTGAGTCATAATTGATGTCGTCGGTCTCCGAACTGCTTGACACCAGTGGACTACCAGGCATGTTTGATGGGCCGTTGAGCAGCCCGTCGAAATGTCTCCGACGTCTGTGTCCTTCCTGTGGCGACACGGATTAGAAGGAATATCTTTTCTAAGTCCGCTGCGGGGGTTGAAGTCTCCATGCTGTCTACAATCGCCTTCCAGTATTTTTTACGGTCTTTCTTGGTGGTTTGGCGACGTAGAATAAGGAATTCAAGATGATTGAACAGCTGTGCATCTCTTGTCCTTGCGGACAACTGCAGTGTACGTTCGGAGATCCAGTCTCTTTCGTGACGGAGAGTTTTATCTAACTGCCCAAGCGCCAATTCTCTGATGGATTATTTGGGCGTGAAACACTGAGCGTCGACAGCTGAATCGTCGAAGGAAGGTGCAGCTATGATGGAAGCGGTTGTGTCCAGTAGCGTCTGCCTTCTATTAGGTCGTTCCAAGAGCGCGTCGTTGAATTTGCTCGGGTCTTCTGACGAGCAGTCAGGTGGATCTTGGATCGGGCGCGTAGAAGGGTATGGTCCGTGCAGTTTCTGCTTCCAGTTTGTGCACCGCAATAAGAATGGCAGTCTTCCGATGAAGAGGCCCAGCGAGCATGTACCAAAATGTAATCAATCTGATGTGCCGTTCGACCGTCATTTGAGTACTACGTAAGTAGGTGTTTTTTGGGGGTGCTGAAAACGGATGTTAGCCACGACCAGCGGTTAAAGTTAGCAATTGTGACTAGGCGTTCGCCATTCTCGCAACGTTGACCAAGGCCGAACTTTCCCAGAACATGCCGAGTATGCTCGTTTGATGAACCAGTGCGTGTATTCCAGTTTCCTGTGATAAAGAGAATGTTGCGTCTCGGACTGTGGTTCACTGCGTCGTGAACTTGATTGTAGAAGTCGTCTTTGATGGGCTCTTCCGCATGTAACGTTGGAGCATAGACAGTGGTGACAGTCAGGCTAAACGGCTTACCTCTGAAGCGCGCTATGACAATCCTAAGAGAGATTGGTTCTCAGATCATTACGTTGTTGGCCCGGCCGCTCACGGCAATTGCTACACTGTGGAAGAAGGAGTTGTTAGTTGGACCACTGTGGTATAACCGGTAGGTCGCGTGGCTATGTAGTATGTTGATTAGTTTTGTGCCACAGAAGGTAGTCGGGATTCGGACAGAAAACAGATGTCTACCTTGTAGTCGTGCAGTGAACGCATTGTGATACACTGACTTCCGGTGTCTAGCGATGTCCTAACATTCCAGCAGGCTACGTGGATCTATTTGGTGTACAGATGGTTTAGGTTCCCAGCTTTCTCATTCGTCACCCACGCCACTGGGAGCGCAGGGCGCGTCGCTTCCCGGGAACGCCGTAGCATGAACGCGATGTAGCATTGTAAGACAATCCTCGAAGAAACTTGGGAATGAAGTACCAAGTGACGACCCCCGCGTGGCTCGGCTTTTGTTCGGGGGTGTCCACTCTAACCCTTGCACAACCAAGTGCGACCTACAGGGTAGAATATTTGGTAGCCGGTGACAGCCAGAACAATTCATACTCCTTTCGGATGGTCCAGTGCCGGTCCAGGACTCTAACGTGTCTGTGAGGTCTGAGGGTGAGTATCTAGTGCTTATTTCATACACTCCTATCAAAGCTTATCCCACCCTGGATGAGTAGACAAATGGCAATGGCCTTTTTTGGTGACGGGCCACATTCGCACACATCACGATGCTGTCAGCAGACATTTGTGGCTCTTAAAAGGGATATCGGTCGCTAGGACGGAGCTTAAGCCGGAGACCTTACCACGTCCTCTAGCATCGCCGATGATCGTCCACGACCGATTGTTCAGTGAAATGACTCCCATCTATTCACGGTTAATCACCAAGGTGGCCGTTCTCCTATCCACGACCTGGAGAATTGGTCAGTAGCATTCAGCTGTGCTATCTGTAGACCATCCATTGGCTACGGGTCGAGGAAAGAACCGCTAGTGGACAACATTACTAAGGACACATGATATAAACTTGACGATGGAGATGTAGAGCTTTAGCTTAGCCATTACTTCGAACGCATCGATGGCATCGCTTCGATTTGGGGAAAGACAGTAACTATGAATATTTTGAAACATCTGATAGATGAGGTGACCCTCTACGAGACGAGCTTTGCGCCAAGGAAGCGCTAACTACTGATACAAGACCGAAGGGTGCTCGATGACTCCAGACTATGATATGACGAAATGGAGTGAAAAGGTGAATACACATGCCACTACGTGTTTTGAACAATTGATTTGGCACTACACGAAAGTATGATAACGGTTGAATAAGGCGAAGAAACTAGGGAGAACCTAATACGTAAGTAATGCACGATCTACGTTGTTTCTATGCCGCGGACTTGGTCCCGATTTTGTCATCTGACTTTGGACCCAATTTGGAATATGTTCAACCACCTTGGTACGTAGTTGTCGCTCTGTTCTGCCCACGTAGGTCGCTCCGCACCCACATTGGAATTGGTAAATCAGATAAGAGTTGGCATACAGAGGCAGGCATTCTTTTACCGGGGGTGTGGGTGTTCTAGTTGTCCGATAGACGATTTGGGAGCCATCAGCCATAGCTCGATATCTTCTGATGACGCAACACCAGATCGACCGAGGCACGGTATTTCGGATTATCTACAAGTCACGAATCGCTACAGTTTGCAGAGGCGATTGCTATCAACCGATGGAAGCCCCCCTTGTGTCAACAAAAAGAACTTTATGTTAGTTTATCCTTACCCTGGTGACATTGTCCTTTTACCTTCCCCCTTTCATGTTTGTCTGCTTTACCTTTCTTTGTTGCCATGCTATGTCCCTATGTAAATATTGTATTTTCTGCAGTATGCACCGTGTTGAGATGCAACGAAATCGTCCTGGACATAACTCGTGCAGTATTGCAATTTGGTCTTTTCTTTTGAAATTGGTCTCGGGAAAGGCTTGCTTCATAACAAAAAATTCACAAAAAGGGAACTCATTCGGTGACGATGAAATGCGAAAACAAACTGCCGACCAAAACACTGATGCTCTCCGTTTCAGCTTTTACAACCATCAACCATGCCAACTTGGTCTTAGTACTTTCGATTTTACGGCGTTTGAGAAAGACTTCCAGTGGTATCAACCGGAAGCACCAGGTTCTCTTGCGCCATAGGTTCCGAAATCTTGAAGAATATAACGGCTTCAGACAAAGTTGATTCCTTCGTCCGCCGTGTTTTGTCAGTCTGACTTCGGAGTGCTTTCTCCAGTCAGTACAAGACAAGGCCATAGCACAAGACAATTTAACACTCGGTAGCATTCTTACGGTTGGCAAGTGGCATCAGAAACGAAAGTCATTATTAGTGACGAGCAGTAATGCCAAAACCCAGCAACCATCAGGGAGAGACGAAACGTCCAACTGGNGACTTGATCAACAGATCCTGCTCAGTGGTTAGGGTTTTCACTCTTTACCACAAGGTTACATAGTGACTGGATAATAGCCATAGTTACAGTGACTTTGAAGAGAGACATCTAACAAAGCAATGTGAAGATTTGCGCAAAGATTAAATTTAAACTCTAATACTGGTTTGTGACTTTTCCGGGGGTGCTATATACAGAATGTCAGATTAGACGGTTATTATAGGCTAATTTTACCTGGTACAGATCACTTCCTCATGAATGCTTCCCTGACAGCGCTGGCACTCCGTCCAAAGGCGGGCGAATCGATCCTCAAGAGTATTTAGCTGAGCGATCTCCTTCTGGTAAATTTCTGACGCTTTCGGCTCACAATATTTACATAAGGCACTTTCTAGATAAGAGAAAAGATAGTCCGTTTAAAGGAACAATAATAACTATATATATATATATATATATATGCATATATGATTCTACCGCTACCTTAAATCGATGTATTAAACCACTAACTGAAAAGTTATTTCGGAGACCATCTCATTCGGACCAAAACAGACTCCATAGTCGTTCGGAGACTACTCGTAGTCACATGTTCAAGAATGGATAGCCAAGTTAAGATGCCACCACGGGGATATGTAGATCAAAATGGTTGCCTATAAGGCGCATTCCAGTGTAGCATTAAGCACTGCTTGACGGTGCATGAAGATGCCCCATTCTGAACAGTCCAGTTCATGATGATATAAACATTTCCGACAAATTGCGGTATTCTCGTCATAGTCTATCTAGTATATAAAACTAGCTTGACAACTTACACTGCTGGAACACATCAGGTAGGTTTCCTAATCGTGAGACATTTACGGAGTTTGGCAAGGGGTATAAGAAGGCTAAGGCTGGTCAAACTAAGACCTAGTACAAGGGCATGCAAACACTGACCCATGGACTTGGTCATATAGGCATCAAGCATCTCGGTTAGGGACTGTAGAATCTGTTTAGTAGATGGCTAGAAACACTGAATGACAGGAAGAAATATTGTAAACAGCAGCTATCGTGTATCTACTCAATTTCTCAAGTGATTTTTTTCACAATTTTCATGGAACTTTAAATTCAGTTTCCAGTTTGTACAACTATTGACTGTCCAAATCCGTGTTTTGGTTATTGCTCTTTGGCTACCCATCTAGTGGATGAAAACAATGTTAAATGCAGTAGGGTTTCAAAATGTGTGTCGACTTCATTGTTGACAAGTATATGCGAAAAAAATGGTTGATCAGTTGATCGAAGAGCATACCTGTGTGATCTGCTGGCAAAAGTGTTCGACACCCAACACATGTAGCCCGTTTCTGGGTGAACGCGGATAACTGGCCGACTTTTGAGTGCACTACAGCCTTGACACGAGTGTGTTCGCCATCTGCACAAATCGATGAATTAATAAACGAGAGATACAATACATAGGGATAGCAAGTTAACCTGAATTGCTTAAACGGAGATAAACTACCTAGTTAAAGGTTAACTACTAAGTCACAGCTGGCTTACATCCAACTTAGCGCAATAGAATAAAAAACGATTACATGGAGTTCAGTATTTTTTGATATATTACATAGGTGGAACAGTTTGGGACTTACTCAGTAAAACAGACTTGGCTTTAGTTTCACCCAGAATCGGTTCGAATATACGCAGCAAAGGATTCGTGAGCTGATTTTCCAAATAATATTTTGTATCGATCGGTATATTGTGCTCGAGTACATATAACGGATCTTCAGCTTTAGCATAAGTGGCCGTATTCTTTCCACCTATGGCAGTGATCACGTATGGCACACGATCGCCCAAATGAGGAGCGGAGCCCGCGTCACGCTTGCGCATCTTCAACGCCAATTCCACATGAGCTTGTTTGCCCGAGTACTCCTCGTCAGTTTTGGTAAGCTCCTTTGTAATCACCAGTTGGGAGATGTCGATCCGATTGCACAGTAAATCAGAAATAACACTCTGAGCATATGTTATCGCCGCTTGAGGATCACTGGGACGCGCACAAAAGAGATTACATGAAGCGTGCTTCGATGAGGCACTGTGAAGTAGTTTTATAAGCCCTAAGATCTTGAAGATGATTTCTTTGATAAAAGTCACAACTCTGTACTATCCTCATTACCAGTAAAGATATGATTGCAATGACTCTAGTTCAGGCGGTCGTATGGTATGCAAAACGGGTCCCAGGTAGTCGCCCGTCAGGTGATTTCTATTTTTCCGCCTTCCCACCGCGAAGATGTTAGTTTACCCACCAAAGAACACCTATACACAGTTGGGTTTAAGCAAAAGCATGGTATTTATAAAACTTTATCTTTACCAAACTTTTGCTAATTAGTGTTAACCAAACAGCAACTATGATAACAGGCAGGGAAAGATCTACTCATGTCACAAAATCAAATCAATGGAGAATAGAGCAAAGAGAGCGTAACCTAAAAAGCTAAACATCATCACAGTTTTTTTTCTAGCCCAGTTGGACTTTATTAGCAAATGCGAAAGGTTTTAAAGAACAAAAAACACATGAAGTCTAAAGAAAGAGAGCCCCGAGGACGACTGAGATCAACACTACGTCTTGTGGTGAATTCAAGCTAATGTTATACAGGAGTGCTAAACACGGGAATGCACATAGCATCCTCCGGAACTTATCCATAAACGCATCATTAAAAAGTGAATGCAGCATTCATCAAAACGGTTACATTGAGAGTTGATGTGGTCTAATCACCAGTTTAGGATCAGCAACGAAAAAATATTCCAATGACTCTTTTTCTACTTATGAAAGCCCCATGTCAAGAAATGAAATGCCAAATTTGAAACGAGGTTAATCATAAATGAAACCGTAGGCGAACAATCACTGGAGAAAACTGTGATTTCAAATTATTCGCATACTGGCATTTATGTTACTACAACAAACGTCAAGCACACTATCGTTCAATGTCCCCTGCATAACACAATTGTACTCGAACTGTGCGTGCTAAAAGGAATAACTTTCTGAAAGACAGGTGAACGCGGCCAGTTCTTAACGTGCCAAAAGAATATGGGAGCCTAAACCGTTGAACTGATTCCGAGTGGTAAGGTGAGAACGGATTGTAGTATGGGTATATGATGGGCTAATAAAAAACCGCGACTAGTGTGATTGATGTGTGGATTTTATTTGCAGCATAGTACACTGAGTGATAAAAAAACAAATAAAACGTACCGCTTGATGAGAATACGTTCCAGACAAGCGTTGATCAGATTTGCCACCAATGGGCTGTTATCACGACGGACGGTTTCTATCCCCTTACAATCCATTTTATCATGCCGATCGGGTTTCGTAAAGTACAAACCGGCGTAACGTTTTTTGTTGATCAGTAAATAGGGGAAATAGACCTGAGAAAATGTGGCAAAATACTCATTGATGATTAGGGATAAAGACGAAACACATGAAACTGGAAGAATGAACAGAAGTGTACCATTTGAATTACACATTAAATGAAGATTGGTTTGCCGGAAATTACGACGTACTTTTTCGAATTCCAGACGAATCGGATGAGGGAACTCAGCAGAAATAACATCGGCAGCTTTTCGCCCGATTTCCATTGCTTCAGCGACTGTAGATACTCCAAATTTACACATAACCGAATCTGTATCACCATAGATCACCTGTATAAAAGAGGCAGTCGAAAATCAGAAACCATAAGATATATAAACCTGTACAGACATATTAATCTGCTGAAGTATAAACGATGACCACCATTCGCTGCTCCAATTCTAACGGGCTCTGGTAATTAATTTCATGTAAGTAATTTAGCCAACCATTTTTCAAATGCTTGTTTNGCCACTCTTTCTTCTATTTGAAATTTGCTGTGTGGGACTATTTAGATAATACATACAATAACTGGAAAAAATATCAAGCGCTTACTTTCGTATCATGGGGGTAACCGTTGGCCACTGTGAATTTCTCTTCCACGTGTAGTTTCGTTTTATCGATCATACATCTACCAAATGATGTGACGGATGCTGAAATTTCAAGGCAGGGCAGTTTTCCCACCTGGGCACCGGTAAAACCGTAAACTGAGTTGGCACTAATTTTTAGGGCCAGTTGCCGACCGTCAAGAACTCGCCTCCTGAACGGATCCGTTTCTTTGGCCAGTTCGGTTTTTGCTCTGGAAAGCACATATGAACTATATATATACTACTTATAAACATTTGACAGCCACTTCGTATTTCTGGGATAGTCATACAGGAAACTGCTAAAGAAACAACAAAGGGAGCACGAGTAAGAGGATTGCCTAACGAAAATGTAAGAATGAAAAGTGAACTAAAACCACTGTTGTTGATTAGGTTGTTTTTGCCGAATTACAATAAATAGGTACTAATGTTGCAGCCGTAGCTGTCTGCGCAGCCGGGCGGAGAGTGCATGTGCGAGGTCCTTAGGGCATTTGGTTGCTCGTTTACCTCGCGGGAAGGTCTGAGACAAGTAGCACACAATCTCCGTGATGGGGGGCTACGTAAGAGAAGCGCGGGTCAACAGACACGGCTTCGGGGGGGCGCTACGAACTCTGAGAGCAGTCAATTTGGCTGTGAGGGTCAGGCGTCGCCTCGGAATGAGACGATCCGTGCTGAGCGCGTAAAGCGAGATTTGCACTACCAGAACTCAATTCAGACTACTCCCGCCGCGGCACATTTTGCATCTTCGAATATCATCGCGAGCGCAATCGCTGAGCCACCGTACTCGCATTATTATCACATTTTTAGCTACTCACTAGTAGTATAGCAATAACTGAACTAAATATAGCCCTGACGACAGCCGAGAAGCGATGTCAAGGCGCTTTTGTGGGTATACGATACTTTAGTCATAAAATGGATGCAGTCTTATGATAGTCAAGCTTATAAAAAGAAAGAAGGGAAATACATATATCTATAAACTTACAACTGATTTAATATTGTAGCACAGCATCTCCAAAACCCGGTACCTAATTTATCTCAGATCGAGGATGTGGGGATACAGCAAGAAAGAATGAGGTTAAGAAGTCGGCATATTGTCTTGTCGTTAAGGGAGAGGTAATACAAAGGAAACAATCCGATGCAGTTAGGAAGACCTTCTGTACAGCAAAGCTCAATGTTTTGTTCACGTCCCAGCTAATTGTGTGTTTACGACTAAATGACAAAACGCCGGATCCTGAGGCCTCATTTTGTGTGTACTCATTAATGTTCCCGTGGAACAACGTGGATCGGACGCACGGTCAGGCGTGAGACCGAAGGACTCCGCAACGATGACGTCACTCAACAGCTGTTCCAGCATTCCACTTCCTGCACAGGGTTCGTGGTCTGCCATCAAAACAGATCTCGGCCCGTAGCCAATGGATTGTCTACAGATAGCACAGCTGAATGCTTCTAACCAAGTCTCCAGGTCGTGGATAGGAGAACGGCCATCTTGGTGATTAACCGTGAAACGATGGAGCCACTGCACTGAATGATCGGTCGTGGACGATCATCGGCGATGCTAGAGGACGTGGTGGGGTTTACGGCTGACGACCGGTATCCCTTTTAACTTATCACGGGCAACCTATATATATATCTTCAGAGTATCAAGCTTGGATTGGCCCATTCGCACAAGCTGAGGACCGTCGACCGTGTAGCTCACGGGTAAGGAATTGAAGTCCCGACCCGAATTTTCGCGGTTCGAGTGCTGACAGGGACAGAAAAAAGAACATACTGCTGATGAGTCCCAAACAGGACGAAACAGCCGTCCAGTGCTCTTTGTCGGTGATCACAAAACATTTCCATTGCATATATATATATATATATATATATATATATAATATCGAATTTTTCAACTGGTTTGGGTATGGTGACACTACAAGACGCTTATTCAACGAGCCACACACCTCAAGGTCAATTGTCGAAGATCAACTTTTATGTTTTCAGTTCTTTCAGTACTGTGGATAATGCGCGAGTAGTTTATAGCCAAATCATTTATCAATTTATTTAAGCTGGAATATTTTTGATAAATTGCTTATTTACTGTGCATTGAATAAAAAGAGATGAGCAATTGAGAATACGTTTGCTTAAATTAATAACCACTCTCATTGCACAGGAATAATTTATTAAAAAAAATGAATTTCCATGCTGCGTTGTGTGAAATACTTTCGAAATCTCAGCTGTAACGTTCGAACCACTACAAATTTTATCGCAACACTCAAGGTTATGCAAATTCAAACGGTAGTAGGAGAGAATTGAAAACATAGATGTGGAAGATAAAATCAGAAATAAATAAACTTTACCCATAGTCATCAATATACAAGTTTAATAATGGAGACTGAAATGTATTTCCAAATGAGAGTGATGTTGCACGAGTTTGATATACTGAATCTAGAGCTACCAACTTACCGTTTACGTGCACTCAACAGTTGCTCCAAGATTTCTGGCAACAATCCACGACGAACGGAAGATTTCACAAAGTAGGCACCAGTTGGTGTGCGTATATAATCCTCGTTACTTAGGTTATACCTCTCTGCAATGGCATCCAATCCTCCACCAGACTGCTTATTGCTGTTTACTTGTAATAGTGTAGAGTAGCACAAATTATATGCCATCATGATACTCGGATATAGACTGGCAAAATCCAGTGTAGCAATAGGTTCGTTGTAGAATCCCTTGATAGGCTCAAGAACTGTGGCACCGACAAATTCATCGCCTTGTTGTGACTGATAGGTGGGTAGAACAAATCCGTGTTCTTTTGCCTTTCGCAACAACTGAGAAATGACCTGTTTTGAAAGATAGCGTACACAGAACAGAATGCGAACAATCTCAATTATACGGCTAGTTGCATGCACTGAAATTTTGACAGTTTGTGATTTTAGATCTGGGAACACATTGTAAAGAAAAAGGAGGGTGAAGAACAATGATATAAAAGCAAAAGATCAACATAAGCGTGTTCCCGTGGTAATTTACCTTTCGCTCACGGTGTTTTAGAATGATTTTTTAAACCCTACTCAGTCGAATGACACGACCTCCTCAGAACACCCTTTCATTTTGAGCAAATATACAGCACATTCAGTCATACTGTTAAAACGAAACTACAATCTATTTCAAATTGTTTTGAAAAGTTATGATCGAAGTGCGCTACTTTTATAAGTGTTCTTCCGTGAGAACACTTTCGGTGAACGTTAGACCATGTCGATCATAAGAAACATGACTGAATTTGGAAGTATTCAGAAATTCCAGGCGGGAAGAACTTGAAATACACCATGGTTTGTGATAACCAACAAAGAGCACTGGACAACTGTTTCGTCCTGTTTGGGACTCCTCAGCAGTGCGCACTTTTCGTGTCCCTGTCAGGACTCGAACCGCGAAAATTCGGGTCGGGACTTCAAACTCACCCCTGAGCTATCTCGTGGGGAATTAACGATCTCCCAAGGTGTGAAACCCACAGCGAAGACCACCAAGGGTGTCTGGTGCCTCTGAACAATTGAATGGGCCAATCCAAGCTTGATACTCTACACTATGACTCTTTTCACAGTATAGTTGGATGTGAAACGTGATTGCCCAGAACAAAACGACACGTGCACCTGCTCGGACACAGGTCCAATGACTAGATAAGGCTTGTTCTGCTCCGTGGTCTCTGTCTGGTTTGTTTCCACTGTCGGTCGTCGACCATTTTCAAAACGTCCCTTCTGATCAAGTCAAAGTGAGGTCCGACTGTTGGGATGTAACGTCTTGATAATCCATAAACGAATTGATACGACTACCAAAACCCATGAGCGAAGGACAAGGCACCACAGAAAACTTTGTAGTTATATTGAGACGGGATTTTGAGTAACGCTAAGAGAACGATACATTTCTTTCTGAAGCCAGAATAATGTATCCAGATTGAGCGGCCGCTCTCAGAACGGAACACGGTAAACAGTAAAACGAACGGGTTAATGAAACAATGCTTCGTTCTGAGGTGAACAGAATAACAAGGAAAAAGCATCCTTCATCTGAGTAATATCACGTTCGTGTGAGGCATATATTCACTCTTCAGTTGTCACCTAACACTAGTTGGGATTTTGCTGGTTCGCCACTTAACACTCGCCAAAGTTTGGACTCTACTTCTATGAACGAAACTTCAGGCTCCGCACCCATGGGGTTGACTCTACTTACCATCAGTAAAACTCGGTGCTTTATGTGTAATAAAAATAGTAAAAAAACTGGCTTCCATCGGGGATTTCAATAATCTTTGTACCTGAAAACACGACGATCTTATGGCAATCCCGGTTGTGATCTCCTTTTAACCATCAAAAGGTTTAATTGGCTTTACTTAATGGTGGCGAGATATTGATCCAGCGTTTGGAAAAAGCAAAAAGACCTTTTAGGTTCAGATAGAAATTTATTGCGGCATTTTACGCTTATGGTAAAATGACGGAATCAGTGATCTGCTAAGATGTCAGGTAGCCGAGGTCCCTTCCTAGAAACATCGTTTGATTTGCACCGAATGGAACGGTAATGATTAAAAAAACCCAGGGCGAGAGCTGAGGAGGGGCATGGAAACACCGATCGAGGATATAAAGAGTCGAAAATATGAGTGCTACTTCTATAAAAGAAGCATGCTCCTTAAAACATGCGGCGTGTTTAAAGAACCCACCTTGATTTGTTGTCCACGAGTAAGCAAGTAAGTCAAAGGGACACCTGTGACACGAGCCATTTCGATATTGTTCACTACACACATCAATTTATCTAACAACCGAAGCGGCAAATAAGCATCCTTCAAACAGTAGACAGCCAGACGTCGTCGAGTTTGTGCGTCTCCATTTTGTAAATCAGTGATAACATTGTGTTCAACATCCTCCTTCTGTTCTTCCAAAAAATGGTAACTGACCGCATTCAGCGTGTAGCTGCGAAGTTTGTAGTCCCGGAATAAAATCTAGAGGTATGGGGTGATACATAATTACGTTGAAATGTCAATTTATGAAGAAATTTTGGGAAGAAATATCAACCACAGTTATGAAATGTAGTTAAAAGTTACCTGCATGATTCTTGGAAAACATCCAAGCGACTTCTAACAACCGAAAGTCACATTCGTCTTTTGGTAAAGTTATCTATGAAGTAAACAGATTTATTTGCCAAGTTAATTGGCTGGTGTCAGCAGAGTGAGGAAGGCACAAATCTTCCTGTTAATCGTCCTATGAGAAATCGAAGTCAACTAACAAGAAACCACCGAAAACTCCAGCGAATTCGTAGAAAGCGCGAACAGTTACGTGAGACTAAAATCTGCGCAACCTTATTGGTTACTAACGCCCCGGAATGTTTTAGTATTGTGCACATTTTCGAGAATTATTAAGGTCAAATCGCGTATACATGATGAGCACCTCCCCATGAGATGCAACGCAGTTACTTACTTTACTACGACTGACTCCTTGGACAGGATAAGCCGGTTCCATGAAGGTCTCTGATTGCCGCTGTCTATGCTTGGCGGTTG